AAGATTTTCCAGTTCGAACTTCGACGTTTTTTTCGTCACAAAATGCGATGGGAAAAGCCTAAATTGATATGTGGTAAAAATAATATGGTAAATAAAAACTGTGAAGTGTAAATTGTGCTAACTTTTACATATTTCCCTCCAACAACAACATGAAATATAAATAATTTTATACATAAAATCACACTGATCAGACTTCGCATGCCAGTGTCAGTGAAAAAATAAATCGCTACACTGACACTGTATTTATTACATCCGAAATGATAAAAGATGTGTAAATTTAGCAGCAAACCTTACCTTCTCAATTTCAGCTTCATCACTTGATAATACATCAATAGTAAAATAACTGAAGTCCATTCTGTTTCTATTTTCTGAGAATTGCCAATATATTTCTTATAAACCGGAAATGTTGCTTGCACAACTTGCATTGTTTGTGGGAAGCCACAAGATATAACCGGAAATGGCTTTGATGTATGCCGGCATTCCAATCCATCCTACTTCCATTATCTATGGTATAATATATCATTTACAAACCCTCCTCTTGGGGGATTCGGCGATATTTCCCTCAGTGATGATATTTTCCTCGGGGCAAAGCCCCTCGGAAAATATCATCACTTCGGGAAATATTACGCCGAATCCCCCTCGCTCTGGGTCTATAAATGATAAATATTCAACCTCGGATATTTTCCTGTACTGCCCTCATTCTCGGTCAGTAACTTAGTAATATATTAGAAGCCGTGTATGGCCTAATTTATAGCCGAATACATATACGTGGGTAATTCATTATAGACTATCATCGGCTATATAGTCCGTGCCTAAAAAATGACCACCTAATCCTAATAAATCTTTAACATGAAAAACAATAATATTAAGCAGTCTTAATAATTATAATTAAAAAAATTCATTAATAATTCACGAGGAAAATACAAAAGAAATGATGTAAATCGGATACAGATTTGTCCTGATTTACATAAACTTCAGTTTTGATATTCTCGGCTTAGACAATATGTTTATTTTTAAAATTACTTCGCCAATGAACTCATAAGATTGGTCATTTTTTAAGTACTAGATAAAATATGAGCAGTCGATCTGTATCTGATATACAAACTCTCGCCTTCGCCCTTCGGCTCGAGTTTGTATATCAGATACAGATTGGCTGCTCATGTTTTATCTAGTACTTAAAGCTCTGTTTACACTATAGCTACATTCAGTTTTTGGTACGACATGCATGGATAAAACTTGTACCGCTACCAAATTTATCCTTTGCAAATAGGTAGTCCGGGCACGGATAAAAATGGTATGACAGGTACCAAAATTGAGGACAAAATTAAATGTTACGATCCGGCTCATGCAGATAGCGTCTGAGCCATTATCATGTATTCCGATCGCGCATTATTGCCTTATATATAGGTCTGGAATTCTAGCTATATAGGATTCCATGAGAAATCCAACTTGGTCTGGCCCAAAATCTATAGGAATTCCTATTAGAAATTCCAATATTATTATTTATTTAGATTATTGTTTTTCGTAATATTTTTTATCTCAAATATGCCTACAAAAGAACACATAAGTTGTTGTTACTATTCGATTTGACAAGAATATCCATTGAATTTGGTTGCCGATTATAGCAAGACAGCGGCTAGTCTGCAATGTTTTGTTGTTGAAGACGAAGCACCCAGCGATCAAATTATCAAAACTAACCTCGGGCCCTGCATGCATTTTGGCGAAATTTCCAAACATCACTCGTACTATTAATTCCTAATTGTGTACTCGCCTTACCATGATTACCTATACTTAGTTTAGGGAATAAAGGAGTGCAAATTAATTAATTTGACGATCGAACTGAAATTACTCGATGATTTGAACCTATCAGTTTGTTTTATTAGCCTAAGTACTAGAAAATACATGCATGCAGAAACCCCCGCCTTGCTGACAAAACCGTTGTATTTTCCGAACAGGAAGTATCTAGAGTAGTTGTCATGGTAACACGATAATTTTTTAAGAATATTCTTACAAATGAAAATCGCCTAAAAATATCACTTTTAATTCCAAAATTATCAATTTCCCAACATATATATGTTATAGGTATGTAATTATACGTAATACAAGCTTCAATTTAAGGTAAAATTCAACCACAAACAATTCACAAAACGTTTTAAAGTGTTCTTTATAAAACTAAACTGCCTTTAGGCTTAAACTATTAAATGGCTTTATCGATAAACTTTGAGTTTGCAATAAAATGATTTCAAATTCTCGCTTGCAAATAACTTTGATCTTTGCTTTATTTTTTATTTAAAAAAATCAATATAATAAAAAGGGAATCAATACGAAAGTTACACTGAAATTTATATATGCTGTCTTGTTTAGTTGTTTCATATACGCAAAGGCCGTCGGGTTTTAAAGCCATTATAAAATCAATATTTAAAACAAACTTACCTTCGTTAACGTCGGCTCCCTTCTTTTAGCTGATTCTTTAGCCCTTTCTTTCTTGAAATTTACAAAATCTTGCAGAAATACGAGCAAAAATGAAGAATATTTGCAAGAAATTTATCAATCATCAACTCATCAAATCCAGAAATATTTGCTATTTCGCTGTCGTCATGCAGTCGTTACAATGCAAACTTTAAATTGGACCAATCAGTGTCCGTTATTCATGACAGTCCGCCATATTTTTGAGATCGGTGAGGATGACCACCCATCGTTGGTGACCGACGCCCGCGCTCATTGATGAACTTTAGACTTCGCTAATGCTTTCGTTTCCCCGGGTGTAAATAGCCGGGGGGAATTAGTACCCTCGCACGGCGCTTCGCGCCGCCGGCTCCGGGATAAAAAAATTATCGGCAAAAGCAGTTTAGTTGAATGAACATTTCAAACCATTTTATGAAGTGTTTCAGGTTACATTTTACATTAAATCAAAGCTCACAAAAAGGCAAAATAACATACCTACAGTATATATGTATTTCGGGAAATTATTGTTTTATAGTTAATTTAAAAGTACTAATCTTTCAACTATTTTTTCCATTTTGTACAAAAAAATATAAAAAAATTAAAATCCTAGCCTTTAAAATCAGCCATGTTTGGTTTCACGTTTAATTGAGCTTCACACTTTTTATCAGAAGATGTTCCATGGTAACAAACAGTGGTATGAATATTCTGCCTGCCGCCAGGGCATTGGCTGGGGGGGGGCATGTGGCTTAGGAGGGGGGTGAGCTTTGCGGGAATTGATTGATCCATAAGGATTGAATCAGATTATTTATTTTGGTAGAAACCACTGTTTTGTGTCATTTGAAGGTTTTCCCACCTCGTATAATGAGGTATATTGTGAGGAAATTAAGAATAACTTCAACAGCTTTACTTTCAATGCAATTTAAATCATTAAATGAAGCAGACATAGTTATTTACATTTTATGGCACTGCTGTATTCATTACTGCATGATTTATGTTTCTTACAATTGATTACAATAGATGTTTTCAAACAAACTGCAGCACTAGGGTGCGTGGTGTGACGAAGTTTACTGCAGCACTAGGGTGCGTGGTGTGACGAAGTTTTAAAAAATGCGTTTCGAATGTTTAACAAAATGCGTTTCCTATTTATGATTGCGAGGCCTTGGAATCTGCTGCTAAAATAAGCTTACAGAACGAGATTGCTGGATTTTCAAATGATATATGTACCGTGATTAAGCCCATGAGTGGCACCGGCAGCAATATATTTTCCGTCGAGTAAAATCAGTAGCTGGGGTGTATCAGAAAACATTGTCTTTAATAATAACACATGAAATTTTTCATTCTGGGCAATTTTTTTTTTACGTTTTTAAATGAGGCTTTAGACATTGGAAAACCATCCTGAAGTTGATTTAGGTCATTATTTTTGTTTCTTGGCTTTTTATAAGGTGTTTTGTCCACCTCTTGATGTGGTTGCCATGGAAACGTGTTTGTCATGTTTTTGTTTTGTTGCCTTTTTCTCCCTGATAAACGCAAATTTATGCATGTCATCTATATTTCTGACTACATGAAGTTCTTCACAAGGCGTAGATGCCAACAATGCATCATGGACAGGCTTGTGCATCTTTTTGTCAGCCATTGTAAAACGAATATTCTACAAGACAACATACTTTAGAATTGCAATTCATCCAATTCCGTGTTTCCTCGTTTCTCTTTTGTTCGATTATGGCTGGGAAAAAGGTTAAAAACATTTACAGGAAAAAGAGAAAAGGCAAACCTTTCTCTGGAAAGCAAGGGTATAAAAATAATTCAACGAAGAGCACTGCTGATGATTTCGACTCACCAGCAAGCACATCACAGGAACATGCGTCGACCTCAAACCCACCTTCTAGTGCATCAAGAAGGAAGTTAAATCGGTGTGAATCTCTTCAAGAATCGACTTCAGAGGGTGCTTTTGAAAATGAAGAAAATTCTGACCAAGGATATCGCCTTATAAACATTAAAAAACTGGCATCATCCATTTCAGAAGCACATGTTTGCAATGAAGGTCAGAATTTGTTGTAGGTTTTGTGTTTGTGTTATGTTATGTTGTTATGTTATGTTATGTCATGTTATGTTATAGTTTCCTATCTTTTAATATACTATATGTTTATATATGTAGAGAGTCATGCACATGTATGATGTGTATAATATAGATTTGTGAACACTTTCTCATGGGATATAAATGAACAATAGCATCTGATCAGCCTTTTGAGAAATTATGTTTTTCTATTTGTAGGCAGCTTGATTATCCAAGAACATCGGGATGGAAAAAGAGGTCTTCAATCTGATTTAACTGCGACCTGTAGTTCTTGTGAAGAAGAATCCTCTTTGGAGACATCCTTCTTTGTGGGTGGGAGAGGGAAGTCTGCTGATGTAAACCGACGCGCAGTGTACTATTCGATAGAGACGGGTGGTGGATACGAAAGTCTTGAATCTTTCTGCAACATCATGAATATGCCATGTATGAGCAAAACTTCCTACTATCAACATTTAGAAACAATTTTAAATGCTTTTGAGGCTGAAGCTAAGGAAGAGATGAAACAGGCTGCAGAACGACTCAGAGAACGAATTATAAAGGAAAGCGGTTGTGGAGACAAGACGTCAGTTATAGATGCTGCTGTTAGTTTTGATGGCACTTGGGCAAAACGTGGTTTCACATCTCTCACTGGAATTGTGTTTGTGATATCTGTGGATACTGGGGAAGTACTTGACTATCACGTAGTTTCCAAATCGTGCCAGAAATGTAGCTTGAAAAAAGCAAAGTGCAAAACGGATGAAGAATTTGAATAATGGGAAATTGAGCATGTCTTCTCTGGAGAATGCGACATCAACTTTAGTGGCAGTTCTCCTGCTATGGAAAAGGAAGGTGCTGAAATTTTGTGGAGAAGATCTCTTAACCGCCATAACATTAGATATAGGTGGATGGTTTCAGATGGTGACAGCAAGGCTTTCAGTGCTGTGGAGGACACTTATGATGGAATTAAAGTGGAAAAAATGGATTGTGTTGGCCATGTCCAGAAACGTATGGGGAAGCGCTTAATGAACTTGAAAGCAACCACAAAAGGAAAACTTGAAGATGGAAAGACCATCGGAGGACGCGGTCGACTCACTGATGAGAAGATAAGGCAAATTCAACGATATTATGGATTAGCAATCAGGCAAAATACCTTGTCTGGTGCTAATCCAACTGAAAAGGATGTTTCAGTTGCTGTATATACAATGAAGAAAAACATCATTGCAATTTTACATCACTGTGTAAAATCTGAAGACAGGGAAAAGCAACATCGTTTCTGTCCTGTCGGATCACATTCCTGGTGCAAATGGCAGCAAGACCAAGCCTTAGGAACATCCATGTACAAGGGTGATGATTGCTTGCCTCATGTGTTTCTGGAGTTACTGAAGCCTATATTTATCACCCTAAGTGATACTAAGCTGCTGGAAAGGTGTGTTCGAGGTACAACCCAAAATAATAATGAAAGCATTAATGCAGTAGTATGGGCGCGGTGTCCTAAGCACAAGCATCATGGAGCAAAGGTTGTCCGATGTGCTGCTGCATCGGCAGTTTGTCACTTTCACAGTGGTGCCAGAAGTAGAAAGAGAGTAATGAAGAGATTGGCAATACCAGCTGGTGAATTTACAAAGAAATCATTACTCTCGAAGGACAGAAAACGTATCAGACAAGCTGACAAGCAGACAACAGAGAAACATAAAAAACGTCGCCAGGCTGAACAACTGCAAAAAACCCGTTGTGAAGAAGCTCTACGTAAAGCAGAAGGAACAACTTATGAAGCAGGAGGTTTCTATTTAAGGCCAGTATTTCTAAGATAAAAAAACTGAACAAATAACCTCACAAACTGCTGCAAATGAATTGTATTGTTGTTTCTAAATTTTAACGCTCATTTTCTCAAATTGTGCAGTTTCGGCAGTTGAGAAAAGATATCTCATGTTGTATTTGACCAATTAAGCTAAAATTTTCAGCATTTGTTTTTCTAGGTGTGCTGTCTTAAATGAGCATAGAGAATTTCTATATCTTATTTGTAGGTCATTCTATTGACAAAAACGTCCCTGGTAAAACCTGTCGCAAGTTTGTAGCACTGCCACTGCCGCAATATTTATCATTAAAAAAAGTTCTATGCTCATTTAAGACTGTGATACCTACAATCCTTAAAAATATATTCACATTCAAAATCCTGGCCATTTACAACCAGATATCTTTTCTCATTCATGCCCCTTTTTAGCACCGCATGAGGTGCGGTTTCCTGGCCGGTGTCAGGTTACAAAAAGCTTTTGTGTAAAATGGTCCATTTTATTGTAATCTATAGGTTACAAGCTTTCAGATAATATATAGAGTTTGTCCTACCTACAGTGAATAACTTCAATTTTATAGTTGATTAAACACAAGCCATGTTTTCATATATACCCTCCCCTAAGGTGTGACACCCCCCCAGTAATTGTATTCAGTCGGCAGGACTGCTATTCAGTCGGTAGGACTGCTATTCAGTCAGTAGAACTGCTATTTGGGTTAAATATTTTTGGCGCAAAGGGCAAGAATGTGGTGGGAATTTTAGGAAAATTTTGAGGAAAAATGTAAAAATTTTGGAAAAATGTAAAAAAATTTTGAAAATTTGCTATGTGCGGAAAATTTTTGAA